GACATAACCAAATCTACAGAGATATTACACCTTTAACATAAAAACAATGATCAATGTAAGATTCCTCTACCTTTGCACGTATATATAATATATCAAAGACTGAAAATTGGGTGACCTTAAATTGGGTCAGCCTTAAAAACCAGATATTTATGTGTGCAGCCAAATTTCAGCTATCACATTCATATATATATATATATATATATATATATATCCAAGTATGTTATTGGTTGAGCCCATCGAGCAACTCTATTTAGTTGGTCAAGTCCAAAAAATATCCATGGCCTCGATCGTCATCCAGACTTTCCTCTTTAAGCCCAACATCAGCTGGGGACATTGTGCCTGTGAATTCCAACCAAGATCAGAAAAATAAAGGCAAGATACTGTGACATGGTGTATCCTAACTATAAAATTTTGATGAATCATATTTGAGTAACCTGGTCTTCTAGTTATTAGGAAGGTACTGAAACTGTCATCACCTTTCTTTGTTAAGGCCTCAAGATCTGATATTTTGGGTTCGGACACATTTTAAGCAGGAATCGATTGTTGTGCAGAAAAGACAAGACAAATATTTATTAACCAAATTTATGTATGTGACAAACAATAGGACAAAAACAAAGACATCATTATGACTTAACCAATGAGACATTCCTCAAATAAAAGCTGAACCAAGCTGCTTCCACAAACCAGGGGGCCATGGAAATCTATATCAGAAGTAGCATTGGACTCTAGGCATTACTATCATTAAGCAACAAAGCCCTATCAGCCAAGTTTATATTCTCAAGAAAAGGAAAAACCGTCAAACTTCGCCACAAATGGCACAAAGGAAAGAAAGGTGATTCTTCATCCAGCTGGTTTTTCACCTTGACGAGCAATTAATCCGGTAATTAAGTTAGCATTTTGGAGGTAAAGTCTTTCTTTTTAGAGCAAACATCATACTTCCAAGAGTAACAATGCATGTAATATATGAATCTAAACTCACTTTGCAGACAAACCTTAATTGCTTCAAGTTTCACAGATTTCATGCTAAACTAGTCCACTGCTAATTTATTTGCCAATGAAGGATATTCCAATTTCCATTAGAACCAAGACCAAGTAGAGTTACAAAATCAATATATTCTAGCAATTTAACGAAACCCCATAAATATATCGCTCAATTCTCAATTACACCACCAAAACGGGCAAACTCAATTTGAGTTTCAACATAATTTGCAAAACCAATATGCAAAATTGAGCCAAACTTTGGTTACACACTTCACATATATATTAAACCAAACCATGTTATTATAAATTTAAAACAAAACACGAGAGAAATACCCAGAACAGAACAAAGCTTGTTGATTGCTGCAGAAGAATGGGGAGGAGACCTCGATGGCGTGAACATGTTTTGGCAGAGTTCGTAGAGAGCTTCAACATTGGAGCTCTTCCTCGCCATGCTTGTGTGGCTTCGAAACGCACTAAACCGGCCTACGCGCCCGCCCAGGCGTCCGAACGCACTAAAAATGGGCCAGTGTTCTAATATATTTAAAAGGTTTAGCCGCACGGCTATACTCTTTAAATAGTATAGCACGTTGGCTATACTCCATAAATATAGTAATAAATTCGTATATTTAAAGCGTATAGCCGAATGGCTATACCCATTGAATATAATATATTCGAATATTTAAATATTATAGCCGGTCGGCTATACTTTTCAAATATAATAAATTCAAATATTTAAAGAGTATATCCGGCTATAAATATAATAAATTTGATTATTTAAATAGTATAGCCCGTCGGCTATACTCCATAAATATAGTAATAAATTCGAATATTTAAAGAGTATAGCCGAATGGCGATACCCATTGAATATAATATATTCGAATATTTAAATATTATAGCCGGTCGGCTATACTTTTCAAATATAATTAATTCTAATATTTAAAGAGTATATCCGGCTATACTCCCAAATGTTGGAACAGCGTTCTACGACACCTACCACAAGCAGCCCAAGACCGGTCGGGCCGCCAACGACGACACGGGACTCACCATGGTGGTGCTCGGTGTGCTGTCAAGACGACAATGGGATGGGTGAGAGAAGAAGATTTGGCCGGGGAGTTGAAACTGCCCCCAAGGAAACTTCGTTCCACTCTGCAGTTTATTGAGAAGGAAAAACTGGTCGCCAGAGATCGAAGGGGAGGGACAGCTTACTCCTGTCTGGACTATGCCCAGATGTACGACGTCGTTAGGTACAGGCTGCACAGTATGAGGAAAAAACTGATTGTCGAGAATACGTGTGTCCTAACCCTCATTGTAGGAAAAGATACAGCAGTTTGGATGCGCTGTACCTGATGTCTATGGAGGACGATGGGTCCTGCTTCCACTGTGAAAGTTGTAACGGGGAACTTGTGGTTGCAAGTGACAGCCATGCAAGGCGGCAGCGGGGTCAAGAATTAAAAGACACGCTTCAGAGGATGGAGGTATAGATGAAGCCAGTAACGGAACAACTTGACAGAGTTAAAGACTTGGCTTTTCCTGAATTCGGAAGCCTCCAAGATTGGGAAGCGAGTGGAAGGCCAATGTATATAAAGAGTGTTGAAGTTGAAGTTGAATTTTGTTGGATTGAAGGACAGGTGGAAGAGGCTCCTAGTCGTCAGTCGGCGTCAAGTCAAAGCGTGATGAGGATCCAGCAGAAGACAATGTAGACTGGGAGGAAGGTTGGGGACCAAATGACTTGGAATGTTGAAGCTTGTTGATCAGGCAAAATCGGAATTTCCTATCTACTTGCCATAAACAGTTGGTACAGAATCACTGAAATGAGGAGACACTTATCAAATTGTCTGCCCGTTACAAGGAAATCTTCTACGCCAGAGACAGTAGTTTACAAAATTAATAACTCATGAGAGGAAATAGCTTAATTTCTAGGCTAAATTTCACCCTTCCAGTTAACTATGCCAATCATGTAGGACCTCCTGGGAATTTTTAAGATAAAAATGATGCCAGGCGTGCATCTGTGCGGTGTGGAAGACCAGTTCGAGCTCCGCAAGCCCTACAGCAGGTAGCTGCCTGCAATCAAAATCGCACAAGCAAAACCCAAAAAAAAGAGTCATGAACAAATCTATGTTGCAAAATCCTACCACATCATAACAATTGGCCATTTAACAGAAACATGTCTACTTACCACTTGAGCAGCAAATGGCAGCATTTTCTCTGGCAGCATGTTGGAGCAAATAGCTACAGTAAAATCAGAAATCCCATGAATGAAATAAAAGAACAAAAAGTAGGAATTTGCTTCAACGTCTAAATTCAACTTTATAAAATCAAACAAGCATGAGACATTTTGTGACCTAAGGCCTATCCTCTGCAAATAGTCAATCCAAATGTTGATTGAACTCGAGTGCTCACATGATATACGCTAAGATGATTTAAATTTATCTAGTTAATCAGCCATGCTTGTAGACTAGCCCAACCACAACCACACTCTCCCACAAAGTAACATTAAACTGAACTGATCTGAGCCCTCATGTTTGGATAATGGTCAGTAGGGATTTTAAACAATGTTGCAACCTCTCAAAAAGTCAAAACTAAACAAATATATACTACATTAGGAAGACACCTTTTTTTCTGCTTAATGATTGAAAAGGTGGCTTTCCAGGCAATAAACAACCAAAAACAAAAATTGACAAAATGATCTCTGTGTGTGTGTGTGGGGTGGGGTGGGGGGAGAAGTGAGAGAGAGAGATGAATTGAGGGATTAAACATACCATAGAGAACTGCTCCGATAAAACTATCTCCAGCACCTGTTGTATCTTGAAGTTCTGAGGGTGGTACTTTCTCAGCTGTTCCCACAAACAACCTCCCACAAACCGTCCCTACTCCGTTGGCTCTCAATTTTGTCACAGGCTGAAAGGATTACAGTGGGAAAACTTACAAATTAGTAGCTACTACAATTATTCAGTATTTTTTTCAGTCTCCAGTTAAGACTCTAAAAACAAATACAGAAAAAACTGATGTTCCACAATTCACTCAAGTTTGCGATCTAAAGAAAAAGGCACCCTAGCCAATGTTGCATGAAATGTGACATGTTTCTTGTGTCAAGCTAAATTTCCCCTTTACCATCTTCCTACGGTTAAATGGATTTCATCTCTACAACAACATAGGTATTGTGCTTCACTTTGGTTATTTCAGGACACCTCATATTCCCAGCTTAAGATGTGGCCGGACTTCGTCATCTTGTTAGGAACAACTTTTATTTGGTAACAGTTTCTTTTCAAATTGATAACTAATGTAAAAATTATATAATCAAACGATGGAAAGATTTTCTAGTTGTTACTTATGCTCCTGAGGCTAAGCAAATATTCAGGACGTGTGGATGAGATCCCAAGTTGTAAACCCAAGATGCAATCCTCAAAACTGTGCAGAAGGATTGAGGGTTGCTGTGAATTTCATCAAGAGTGGTGAAAAGGACTATCTAAATACTTCAAAAATCAAGGGAAAATAGTTCACTTCTAACTTGTCTCTGACTAAATTCTTTCAAATCCTCTTAACCATTGAGGCTCCTTACCGATGAAACACATGTCGGGATAGCAATGTTATCATCTTTTCTCTGCTTCAGCAATTCTAGCAAGCTATCAACATCCATTTCTTCTGTCTGAGGAGCCTCTGCCAGAAACAGAGTTTCAATGAAAACCTGTAAATTTTTCAAATCAGATAAAACAGACTATGTTTACAACATTGCAAGCCACAACTTCAGGCCCTATGTTTCATATTGTTTTCCGCCTCAATAAACCCTGGACAGTTGCATACTTACCATCCACACTTCTCTCAAGCATTATGCATCCATCTTCACCCAATGTCACAATCACAAATTTGATCTTTGGCAATCTCACAAGAATCGAAACAAGAGCACTTGGAACGGATGCTGCTTCTGTCCATGCCTGTAAGACAAGATATGCGTTGTGTCCCACATAAATGACCTTGGGCCTTAAACTTAGACCCAGAGATCCAAGCGAAAAATGAAGGGCAAAAAGTGTGTCTAAATGTGATCTAAGTTAATTGTAAAATCACAGCAATCACATTAGCATGCATATTGAGTGCAAAATATATCCACCAGATGGTTAGACTAACTAAGTAATAGAAATACATGGTATAAGAAGAGCAGTGCTTGAGGAAACCTCTTATTTGCATATCCAAAACAATGGTTCCTGTACCGGCTATTTTCGGCTGAAAATTGTTTGGAAACAGATAAGAAGCAAATCAAAGTCTTATCTCCAGTTTTAGGGGTTTAGAAACCAAAAGGAAGAAGCTGACAAAATATTTAAGTTGAAAAAACATGTCCTAATTTCCTTCTAGATAAAGTAGTTCATAGAAGAACAATTGACTTGCCTGTGGAAATTTCGCTGAGCATATAGCATAATCAGCTAGTTTTAGAAGATCATCCAGCCCTTCTCTTATCCGTTCACCTTCAACTAATATAGGTACATTCTTGCGAGCAGCCTGTGAGAATCCAATTATGCTGATTTACTTTCTTTAGTTAATAACTAATTTTCTTGGAAAACTAAGTAAAGATACGCTTAACAGCAAGAAGTTTAACACAAGAAACTGGAAGATAACAGTTACCTCCTGTGCAACAAGTAAAGCAGTTTCATGTATTCGTCCATCTAAATAAAGCACTCTTGCTCCATCCAATGCAGATGATAAACTTGTTTGGGAAAGGTCGCTTGGTATCATGGGAGGATATCCTGGAGTATGAATACAAGTGCGAGTTTTCCTGGAATGTCACTAAACAGTTTATTAAAATTGAAACACAAAGATTGGGGAAAAAGCTATTCCACTGCCCTCTATCACTAGCTAAGGTCATATGCATTAGATCAGATTCAGAATGTAGGAACAAGAAAATATTATGGGTTAAACAATAAAGTCAGCTAATAAAAGGTTGTGTACGCTTGTGCGCGCTTGTGGGTGGGGGGTGAGAGAGAGAGAGAGAGAGAGAGAATAACACATAAAATGAAGTTCCTCACGTTTCATTGTCAACAATAATGTAGGTAAACGGTGAATTACCCTCCTCGGAAACCTGGAAAAATGAGTCCAAAAATGAAAGCAATATTCAGATTACATAGCAGTCAAGTCCTATTCTTAAAGATTACAAACGGCTTTCCCTCTGAAGCTTACCACAACAGAAGAAGTATCTACACCGTCAGCTTGTAGCTCCTCCAGTATGGCCCTGCCTTGTGTATCATTTGCAACCTATCATTTCAAAATGCATAAAACAAGCTACCAAAATCAAACAACCAAGTTTCCTTCGGGAGAAAGAAAATTCAAAATAAAAGGGTTAAAAACCTTGGAAATCAGTCTCGGACTTAAGCCCAAACGAGCTGCACAAGTTAAAGCATTACCCGCGTTTCCACCTCCTTGAACCTAAGAAACCAATCAAAACTAATTATCAAAGCTAATCCACAGCAATATTTATGTGTTAACAACAATTTATCAACAATAAAAATAAAGAACAAATCTTTCATTTGCAAAAATTGCACACAAACAACCGAGTTACTGAGTGAACTCACGTTCGAGTAACAATGGCGTAAATTTAACTGGATAAATTAAGTTTACCGTTAAGCTGGTGGTTCTGATTTTGTCGTCCGGATTAGGGTAAGAGGCCACGGCGGCCAAGAAATCGACGCCCACCGTGCCGACGCTGAGCTGCCATAATTGTATAAAAGCATAATTAGCAAGTAATTATGAGCATAATTGTATGGATTATAATGAGAAGAATGTAATTGATATAGATGAACCTACGACGATTCGGTTTTCGGGGAGAGGGGGAAGAGAACCATGCGACATTCTGAACCTGAAACTCAAACTTGGTTGTTAGAATTTGAAATGAATGGTTGAAAGATGTATGATTTTGTTTTGTTAATGGAAAAATTGAAAGGAGAAGGTGTGGTTAGAAAAGAGGAGGAGACCTGGTTGAGCGAGGTGGGGAGAAAGATGGAGAGAAGGTGGTTGGTGAGCTGAGGGGAGTGGCATTGGGAGTTGGGTAAAGAGATAGCATCTTTTCTGTTGTTACAGTTGAAGAAAAGAGAAGATTCGGTGGATGGTGCCTTTGGCTTTATCATAGACATCTGGTCTAGATTGGTAAAGAGTTGAACTTAGTCTTGCCTATGCCACCGCTACGAGGGAATTTTTTTAATGAAATTTAAAGTCATTGTCTTTTAATTGCAATTTGCAATAACCACTAATAATTTTAAACATCTAGTAACACTCAATCTTTACTTTGTTGAAGGAGATCACCGATAATAAGTTTAAGTAGGTCGCCACCAACAATGAGCACTCAGTCTTTACTTTGTTGAAGGAGGTTACCGATATTAAGTTTGAGGAGGAAGCCAACAATGAGTTTAGGGATTTAGTACGTGGCACTCAATCTCTACTTCGTTAGAGAAAATCTTGTATTTAAATCTCAAGTATGACCATTATTGATAAAAAGAATTGTAAACTAGTAGAACTTGGATAGAATTGTGTTCAAATTATATAGATAGACAATTAAAGACTAGCTCATCAAGTACGACAATTGTTGATAAAAAGAATTGTTAGTTCTATTTGAATTCTGAATAATAAGACATTATAGAAACCAAGCAAATGAAGAAAACAAAAAGCATATGCTAGGTAGCTTTTAACATCCATAAACTGTCCGTACAGATTAACAGAAGCTGACAATCATGTCATCAGTGGAAAGTGTTTGAATCAGATAAGTTATATCTGGCTACAAGAAGAAGATGACTCTCAGCCCAACAAATATAAAGGGTAACAATGTCAATCAATAAGGCATTGAACTTAAGGGGACGTTATAATACACACGGAGACTATTCAACTTACATATCTCCAACTCGTATGTAAATGAATCAAGAATTCCAAAATTAGAAGCCATTGTCCTCTCTCTCTCTCTCTTCCTCTCATCCCCCGACATGGACTCCGGAGGATTTTCCAATACCTAAACTACAAGTGATGGCTTTACTTAAAAGCCTCAGTCCTTTTTTAACTGTACAAAATTCAAAAATAAAATTAACAAACTTCAAACCCAAAAGCCATCATCATTCCGAGCACATCTCGAAAGGAGTCCCCCATGCTCACTCCTACTTCCTCTTACTCTGTAGAATGCTGGCTTGCTCCGGACTGTTCTCAATGGCCCTGACCTATTGCCATGTCTAATTGGTAAAGATATCTCATCCCCCACCAAACTTGAAGTTGAAAACGGTCTGTTTTCCATATCTTCAAGTGGCCCAGAACTATACTCCATTGTAATGAACGAAGAGGTCTGCCCGTAATTTAACCGGGGAGTGAGTCCACCGGCGTTCCACCAACTGCTATCAGAAGGAGCAAGATCACCTTTGAATTCAGAGTCCGGGACGGAAGACTCCTTTTGACTATAGCAATCCCCACCAGTCTCATCCGTATCATTGTATATGAGCTTTAGAGCCTGCACCACTTCACCCATAAAAGGCCTGTGAGTCACCTCAGGGTGAACGCACATGGAAGCAATGGCTGCCACTTTAGCCATGTCATCAAAGTCATAGGTTCCAGCCAAGGCAGGATCCACCAACTGCTGCAAACCTTCTCTGCTGGTTAGCAGTGGTCGTGCCCAAGTTACTAAATTCTCCTGGCCGGGAGGGTGGGCCATGTCTACAGGCTTCCTTCCAGAGAGAAGTTCTAGCAGCACGACTCCATAACTATAAACATCACTCTTGACAAGTAGGTGCCCTGTCATTGCATATTCTGGGGCAACATACCTGTAATCCAGCAATTTGATCAAGAGAATAGTTGAAATGTTGCTCAGACAGAAAACTATTGAAGCAAACATTATTTCAAATTTTCAATTTTCGTCATATACTATAAACTTTATATATATCTGGACAGAGGAGAATTTCAATTCTTATGGCCGAAAAATCTAATTAAATTCATTCACTAACATCCTTGTCATTCATTAAAGGTTCCCAATTTCTAGTGTACTATGGCGCCATATAGCAAATTAGGTTTATGCTCTATAAGCCTAAAAAGAAATATTGGATCCAAATCACAGTTTAAAAGATTTGTAAATCCTGATTAGTAACAGCTTAAACAACTGTGCGTACCCAAAAGTTCCCATGACCCTTGTTGAGATATGATGACTTCCCTCAGTTGCTTCCCTAGCCAACCCAAAATCTGATACCTTGGGCGTGAAGTCAGCTTCCAGCAAAACGTTACTAGCCTTAAAATCTCGGTGAATAACACGAGGATTAGAATCTTCGTGGAGATAGGCTAATCCTCTTGCTGCCCCAAGGGCAATCTTCATCCGTGCATCCCAGTCAAGAGGTCCCTTTTTCTTGTCAACCCCTGAAAAACAACCATAACATATAAATATCGAGCTTTAAGGCTGTTTCTATCCCCCCAAAAACAAAACAAAAAAAACGAAAAGTCCTTCAAGAGAAGGTAAATTAAATTGCTAGTTGAGGCGAGTGGGAGAGCTAATTCTAATTCAGGAAAATAACTTCAAGTTGAAAGAGACCAAAGTTGACAAGGAAAATATACCATGCAAGTGGGACTCAACACTCCCATTGTGAACAAGCTCATATACCAAGCTGCGGGTGCGCCCTTCAATACATATGCCTATCAATTTCACCAGATTGCGGTGATGTAATCGGCTTAGCATCTCAACTTCTGCAATGAATTCACGGTCTCCATTCTGATTCTGATTATCCCTTGTAAGCACTTTGACTGCAACTTCAGTCCCATCTTCCATAATTCCATGGTAAACACGTCCAAATCCCCCTTCTCCCAAAACCCTTTGGGAACTGAACTTATTCGTTGCTTTCTCAAGCTCAGCAAGTGGAAATGTTTTGACAGAGAGAATACTTGTAGCCATGGTGGACATTAGGGACACCGAAGTGGAGCTCGCAATACTGCTTGATAAGATAGACCCAATACCTGAATTACACGAATAGATCAATCACTCAGTCTCCAGTCTGTTTAATATGGAACTGTGTGAACAATTAACTAAATTGTCCAGATTGAAATTCAATGTTCATAAAAGAGTATCAAATTAAGAAAGCAACAAAATCAAAGACAATGAATGCAGTAGAAGTCTTTTCTGTATGACAAACTCTACATATCAAAACATGAGTTACCAGATCCCACCACCTGAGGACCATGATCTGGCTTGCATACCCCAATTCATGGTACTTTGGTGGTCCAGTTCTCCAAAACTGATGTTCCAAACATACAATAGTTTTTTCTTTGGCATGAAAGGGATCCTGAACCAGGGCCCTCAAACATAAAGGTGTTCCCAACATAACATGATATATGGGAAGAAAAAAAGAGATAAATGTCAAGATTTGAGGTAACTGGACTTGCAGGGAAACTTTGTGCAAGTACAGCTATTTTATCGTTAAAATTGAAATTTGTTGATTTCATTCATGTATGTGAGGGTTTATACATTTATGCATGCATGTATGGATATACTCACAACAATTGTGCACAAGAAACACAAGAGAACACTAAAAAGCCACATACTGACCAGATCTTTTGTGAACAGAAGATGTGAATGCAGGACCAACAGCACTAGATGGTCTTCCAACTCTCTTCCATTTCACAAAGATCCAGATTGCCCCAATGAGAACCAACAGGAGTACAAATGCAGACAGAGCAATAATTACAATTGTTCTAATATTCATCCTCTGGTTCTTGCTGGGAAAATCTGCGGTGATGGGGAGATCTCCAGCACTTCCAGCTGGACCATTCCCCTTGAAATACTCATATGGTGGTGAAGAAGCAATCCCTGTTAATGACTTTTTCAGTCTCAACCACAAACAACAATGAAAGGAAGCAAAAACAGAAGTAGGAGAATTGAGGACAGTACCTGGATAACTAATGTATACCACGTCATAATTTCCAAAAAGAGTCATATTTAGAGGGACTTTCTTATGCCGAAATCTATCGTACGTCAGTATTGCAGTGGTATTATCAAACTTCTCTCCTAGTGGAACCAAGTTAATATCCACTACTGTTCTTCCTTGATTTTGACTATCCGCACTTGCACCCATTATTTTCACTTGGCTTTGTGCCAGATACGTGCCTTCGGCAACTTCAATCTCTAGCTCACTCATTACAGGAAAAATAGCATACGGAGCTATATCCAGTAAAAGTCTGACTTTCATGGGAAACACACAACCACAAGGTGAACCAAATGGAGATGCAGTAAGTGGCTCCACACAGATTTGATCGCAACCTGCCAGAAGCACCATCATTATAGAAGTAAACTGGCAAGGTACTTGCCAAGAAAAACAATAATCTGAGGTAAAATACATTTTCACGACCATAGTTAAATTAACAAAATTTTGGGAATTCCATGAACCCAAGTCCCACTTTTCTAGCAGCAGCTGTGCTAAAAAAGTTTCCAGCTGCACCTCCAACCCATAGTGGGGAAGGTAAAGCCTCAAACTCATCTTCCAAAACACGTAAACTTAACAGCCCATTACTTTCTTTCTTATTGACTAAATGGTAAAATTAAAACATTCAACTTGCCTCAGCAGAGGAGTGATTTTATATGGGACTAGAAGATTAGTTGGTCCAATTTATTTTCAGAAAAAGCAAGTGATATCCAACTACCCAAATTAATAGTTCTTGGCCACCCCTCCCCAGTCATAATAGAAATTAAACAACGTTTTTGGAAATTCATCAATCTCAACTAAACATCTACAGATTGTTTGGATGTTGTAAAAGATGAGTGACACCTGACATTGACTACATCATGACAAATCACAAACCCCAGATTATTTACCTGGGTCTTTTGATGGTGCTGGAGTAACAACATGGGGTTTCGCTCTCACATGATGATGACTATGATGACCACGTTTTGGTGAGGGAGAACTTCTAGGACCTGAAATTGAGAACTTAACATCACTGCAATACCAGCAACTGGAACATCCATGTATTCATATTTTGAAGGGAATACATACCTAGATAAATTGGAGAAGGTGCAGGTGCCAGGGATCCCGAAGAAGGCTTGATTGCCCGTGTTTTGGGTAGTTTTGATGAACCAAAGGACAAACTCATCAGAATCGACCTTGCTGCAAATGGTAGGACAAGCCCAATATGTCACAAATTGGTTAAGAGATATATGCATAGCTATCAAAGGAAGTAACTTTAACATGAGGGGAACTAAAACATCGGTGAAGACACCAAATATGCATTAATAGAGCTATACGATTGGCGACCTCAAAGAATGCGCATTTGATGACAATATTTATGTTCAACAGGAGTTATTCTAGTGTACAACAACAATAAATCCGCTCAAGAAGTTTGTTTCCATATCCATGACAATATATTTCAATAGATTTTAATATCGAACAAAAATTGTGCAGAACAAAAATTGTGCAGATGAAGGTCGAGCCTGGCAAATGGATTATACAAAAAGATTAGCACCCTTACCGCGTTCCATTGAGAAATCTTTCATAGATAATGGTTGGTTTGGCAATTGAGAAGGAGACAAGTTAATATTTAAAGACAAATTCCCTGAAATAATAAACAGGGACGTTAGTTTTCTTGAGAAACCGTCACTTATCGAGCATAAACCGAAGAATTAAGCTATTAAAATCATATAAACTAAATTATCCAAGCACTATTTGACTACCACTGTATAATTTAAAAAGCTCAAAACATACCTGAACAACAGAAAATCAAGCTGAGCAGGAGAGTAAAAAGAAGAAGCAGAATCGGAGTTCGCATTGTCCCTCGCCGAACCGAAATTCACATAAAACATCGTCAGAAGCAACCACCTTGGAGCTCGAGAGTCTGGCCGGATAGTGGCCTGACGTTTCTAGGTTTCCGGCGAGCTTCTCCATCGCATTTCTTGCTCGGAGCGAGGAATCGCATGGTTAAGCTAAGAACGAAAGCGAAAAGAGTAAAGAGTGAAGCATGCGGCGACTAAAACCCTAGAAGAGAGAAGACAAGGCGAGTACTGGGAGTGAGTGGGGGCGTAGATCCATGAAACGCGGCGAAAGATCTAGAAGAAAAGAGAGATGTAGGTAGGGAGGTGTAGGTGGGTGTATGTATAGAGAGAGAATGTGGGTGTTTTAGAGAGAGGAGGAGAGAGGGAGGGAGGAAGGGAGAGAGAGAGAGATCTTGACGAGGAAGAAGAAGAAGAAGAAGAAGTAGAGGAGGTTTGAGGGAGACAGTAGGAGTGAGGTGAGGGACTTTATTGCTGCTGTCTGTGAGTTAGTGAGTGAGAGAGTAGTGTTGAGTGCGTAGCTCCAGAGTCCAGCGAGACCGGTTTCGGTAAAATTGAATGATGGCTGTCTGATCCACGCGCCAAATTGAACGACGACTGTGTTTCGAACGGGCCCACTTTAACCAAACGCCAATTCCGCGGCCGTTTCGTTGCCTAGCTTCTGTTTTTGAAGTTATTGTTAACCATAAATTATTGGGGATATTTGGGAAATTCATACGATAAACTCATTTGTTAAATCTTTGATCTCTTTTTTTTTTCTAATTTTATTTCAATTTGATGATAAATGTCGGTCAAATGTTTTATAATGATTCCACTAACTCTTGGTCTGAAATAGAATTGGTAGGTAAACATCTTATTTATATAGAAATACCTTTAAAATAAGGAATACGGTTTTCAAACTCTCATGTTATCCACTTGCACACCGCCTTCATTTTTTCAATTTTTTTTAAAAAAAATTTCTTCATATATTTTCATTTTGAGTTCTCAAACTTCCTTGTAGTTTTTGAATAACTTAAACCTGTTAACTTAGGGCTTGAGTATGGTAGTTACTTACAAATGGTTACTAAAGGAATATTTAACTTTGGTTTTAGGATCAATATTATAACAATTAACAAGTTTACTACAATTTGTAAGAGGTAGGTGAAACAAAGGAGAAACGCTAAGGATTATATGTGATAATGAAAATACCTAATTAGACGTACACTAGTGATTGACTTACTTTTTCCAGAGTTATTTTCTCTCTCCATAAACTCGGAGCTCCTTCACCATATGATTTTCTTTTTGGATCCGAGGGTTTCCCTCGGATTCTCATCGAAAGAATAATGAATCCTTGATTCTCATGCTTATATGCCCCTACTATGTTAAGAATACACTTAACATAAAAGTAGAGTTTAGTTATTTTTTTTTAGCTCACTGTTGTTCTTCAAGCAGGGAGCTTTGGGTTTTCAAAATCGTAGTTCATGTAAAATAATGCATCATCTATACTTTTGAGCTCATAAACATTTTGATTACTATAGTTTTAATGAATTTTCCAAACATTGTTTCAATTCAATGTAGCTATGAAGATAGACGACATGCCGTTTATTATTTTCGTTGGGATAAAACAAGAAGATAATACTGTTGCTGGCTGTGAAAACGACGGCGTATGATGTGATAAACTTTAAGGATACACAGATCTGCTCTGTATTTTTATCTCGTTAATCCATCCCGATTTCTCATCATCACCATTCCATTACTCATTGTTTCATTCTTCTCCAACCATCAAATTTCGTCGCCGCCAAAAATCTCTGCTCCTCAGCCACTCCTCTGTTTCAATTCTCAAATCTCTCATTTTTTTCATAGACATCGACGTCTCTCTGTTCTGCCCTTTTAAGCATAAATTATCGTTATCTCATATTTTTCTTGCTCCAAGCTCTTCTGGGTTCGTCTAATTCTTGCCAATATTTTCCTTGGGCACAGCGGTTTACGTTGTATTGGCCTCCATGGTTATTTGCTTCCATCTTTAAGCTGTTCTGGGTTCGTTTCAATTGTTACCAATATTATCCGAATCTGTTTCAATTATCATTGAAGGCCTACCTGCCATGTTGGGTTACTTTCTATGTATTTTTGGCTGATGGGATAGTTTGGTAAGTTTGTAACTTCATTTGGCGTATTGGGAATTGAGACTTATATTGTACTGGTACGTTATTATGTGAACTTCGGTTGGTTTTTACTTCGTTTGTTGTTTGGATACGAGATTGGAGGTTTTGGGGTTTTGGGTGTTTGGTTTCAGAGCTATAAAGTAAAATTGGCAATTGGTCATTTGGAATTTTTCTCTGTCATAAGTTTTTCCAGGGTTATTTGGAAAAGTAGCTCCAATCTTTGGCACTTGGCAGAATATTTGTTTCTCTTTGGGTTATCATGGCTGGTGGAAGAAATGGGGATATTTGAATGCTCGAAGGATTCTTCGCCAAACTCCATTGCCAATGGAGGGATCGCCTAGGCTCGGCCCAAAAGGTCTAATTAAGAAGCACGAGTTTGTAAGAATACTAATTCAGTGCCTATATTCAATTGGCTATGAGAAGTCAGCCTCATGCTTGGAGTTGGAGTCTGGCATTTCGTGCAAATCCGATGATTTTCAATTGCTCGAATCACAGATATCGAGCGGGAATTGGGATGGTTGTGTTGATACCCTTAATGCCATTAAGGATTTGACAGATGACACAAGAGCTGCTGCTTTGTTTCTTGTGTTCAAACAGTGCCTTTTGGAGTATTTGAGTTGTGGGGATGACAAATTGGCTGTGGCCATTTTGCAGAAAGAGGTGTCAGCTTTACAGGTGGACAGAGATAAGGTTCACAACCTTGCTCGGAGTATCCTTTCCTGGAAGGAAGTGGAGCAGAGCAAGATAGACGATAATGCTGTTCGAGAATTGCGAAAAAAACTGTGGCAAGAATTGGAAAAATGGCTTCCTTCACCAATTACGCTGCCTGAGCACAGATTGGAACATCTGGTTGAAACTGCTGTTTTGTCCCAGATTGATTCATGTATGTATCATAATTTGTCAGATGAAGTTTCACTTTATGCAGACCATTCCTGTAGTAGGGATCAGATCCCTACAGAGACTGTTCAGGTGCGATTTCCGGCCACAATGCTTCTGTCTTGAAAAATTAAGTATTAGGTTTCTACTTTTTTGGCTCTGTTGTTCTTCTATTGGATGGCTGATATACACATGAACACTTGTTTTTCATTGGTGCAGATTTTGACCGAGCATAAGAATGAAGTTTGGTTTGTGCAATTTTCTAATAATGGGGAGTACTTAGCCTCTTCGTCAAGTGATTGCACGGCCATCATATGGAAGGTACCGTAGAGTTTATAAGTATTTATTCTGGTTATTGAATGTTTTGCTTTCATGCTAAAGTTCATTCTTGAAGATGAATTTATTAACCTATATGGTCGGATGTTTTACTTATAGGCATACTTTTAGTGTTCTAGACACTGCATGTGTAAAAATCTTAAACTCTCAAAACAGATTATATGGAATCAAGACAATTTAGTTGAGAACTACTGCAGATTTAGAAAAAAAAAATATGGGAAGCAGAAAATCTTTTGCAATAAGTAGTAAATCCTGCTTTTAGAATTCATCAAATTTGTGAGGAAATGAAAAATAGTTTATTCTGGTTTTGTAAGAGAGATGCATGAAGGAATCTATTCTTAAGCTACATGAATATAATGCATCATGCCACGTGTTCGAATGCACGATCCAAAGAGCTGTCTGTTCGGTCATAAATTTTGGTAAAGCAATAAAAGCAATTATATTGTTCCCAAAGTTAGAATTCTAATGTTAATATAACTTTTAAAATGCAAAACCGATATACCATATAGGATCCTCACATATGAATGTTACTTTAAATAGGAATTTCATATTTGTATAAACTCAGTGCTTAAAGAGTGTTTATGTGGAGAAACTAGTAATCCAAATAGCAAAACCGATATACCATATAGGAATTTCACCTTAATCTTTTGTACTACAATAGAGCTTTGTGGAATTTCATCTTAGCATACAAGTGGTGGAAGATTCCAAGGTGCTAGGGTTTCTAACATCAGTTCTGATATTCTGGGCCAGGTGCCGGAGGATGGTAGGGTGACACTAAAACATACCCTACGGAGTCACCACAATCCAGTATCCTTTGTAGCATGGAGCCCTGATGACTCAAAGTTGCTTACATGTGGAAATGTTGAAGTCCTCAAGCTATGGGATGTTGAAACAGGTACATGCAAGCATACATTTGGGGATCCTGGCTTCATTGTCAGCTCATGTGCTTGGTTTCCCGACTCAAAGCAACTTGTGTGTGGCAGTTCCGACCCTGAAAAGGGCATCTACATGTGGGATTGCGATGGCAATGAGTTAAAAGCATGGAGAGGGATGAGGATGCCCAAGATTTTAGATCTTGCTGTGACACCAGATGGGCAAAATCTTATCAGCATCTTCTCTGATAAAGAAATTCGGATTTTAAACGTGGGAACAAATGCCGAACGAGTCATCTCTGAAGACCATTCTATCACATCCCTTTCAATTTCTGGAGATAGTAAGTTCTTTATTGTCAACCTGAATAGCCAGGAGATTCATATGTGGGATGTTGCTGGTGAATGGGTGAAGCCACTGAAGTATATGGGCCACAAGCAGAGCAAGTATGTGATACGCTCCTGCTTCGGTCCATTGAATAGCACATTCATTGCCAGTGGTAGTGAGAACGCACAGGTATGCTTCCCAAATTTGAGCCTATACATATGCTGAGATACAAATCATTCTTGTACCAGTGAACCAAATGGAACCTCACAAGTTAGAGTCATTATCTTCTCTAGGTATACATCTGGAACCGGCGAAATTCTAGGCCAATTGAGGTTTTGCGTGGGCATTCAATGACTGTGAACTGTGTGAGTTGGAATCATAGGAGACCTCAAATGCTGGCATCGGCGAGTGATGATCATTCTATCCGTATATGGGGATCTAGCCTTTCTAATAAGATTCAACCTCAGAAGCTCAGTTGAATGGATCATATCTCCAATTTCACACCCTATGTATATAGCTTTTGTTATTTTCAATCTCTTATTCATTATTGAGTTTGTGAATACCTTTTTTTTTAAAAATTTTTGGTACAGATTTCCATTTTAGATGCCCTTTTCTGGTTGTCACCGTCTCTAGCATTTGCTAGTCACCATAAACATAATGTTGGAAGTAATACTTTTCCTTTGCCATGCTATGCTAAATATCTGCAAGCTTTGTTTTTTTGTTTTTCCTTTCTCAATGGATTCGAGGGTTCAAATGTATGAAAATACAACTGGACCAGAAGTTGGTTGGTTGTATGAGTTTTGTTTTCACTCACGGAAGTGGTAAGAACCAAACTCATGACCGGACTTTTGCCGCGCACATGAGTCTACTGTTCCTAGTGAGAGGGATACTTGTAGAGATCCCGACACTACCTAGAAAATAAGAAGAGCAACAAAGCAAACAATAGCAGGCTGGTAATAAATAGAAGAGGATATAATAAAGAAGAGAAAAGTGACTGGTCGTTTAAGTTTTTCAAATTTAAAAATTTATGATGACGTGACACAATAGGATCCCTCCAAAATTTCAGATGGACGGCTGAGATTGGGAGGTAGAAAGTAAGCAGGCGCATCTTCCTCTCTTCTAAATTAAAATGGGGCATTTTGGTCAAACGTCATTGACTCCGTTCGGGCTTTTGTAAATCAGCCAAGGAAACACAGGGGAAAGAGGGGCACTGACTCTCTTCTCTTCCTCATTAGAGAGCGAGAGCCTCATTTTCTCTCTCCTCGGATTCAGATTTCGCGCAATTCCTCAAATTCCTGAAATTTGGATTTCAAAAAATTCATCGTTTTCCTATGAAGTCCGATCTTATAATGACGGGACCTTCACGACCGTTCGATCAGACCCCGATTTCTCCCTCGCCGTCCGATTGTTATCACTGCAGGTCAGAATTCGAAACCCTCAATCGTTCATGTACTGCGTTAGGTTTTTATTTGTTTGCCTGCTTGCTGTAATTCGATCTATACGCATACGTGATCTTGGAATTGGCTAAATTTAATTTGATTTCCCTGTAATCTATGAGTTTCACATTTACGTGATGCTTTTGTATGGTGCATATATGTATAACTTGATTTTTAATCAAATTAGTTCTGATTTACAGCTTCAGAAAAATGATCGATGTGATTGTACGGATAATTCTGTTTTTTTTCGTTCATGCTGCTGAAGCTTGATTTCATGAAATTGTTGAATTTGACTTGTAGTGCAATTCAGAAAACTCCAATCCAATAATCATTGTGTTTAGTTTAAGTTCGACTTTTGGAATTCGTCTTTTAGGTTTTTAAAAATTTCATCCTATCATAGTGATTAGTTGAGCTTTATAGTTCAATGTACCTTTTCAATTCTGTTGGTTAGTGTGAAATGCGTGTTCTATTTGTGATGTTGTTTCGATTCGAGTACATAGAATGGTTCATTGTTAAGGATCAAGTACATAGAACAATAGAATGGATCAGTTAGCTATTGACTTGGTTGGACCGCTAATAAGCTTTAGTAGTGAAACTATTTTATAGCTATGATTGCAGAAAAGGAAAAAAAAATTGTAATGCTGCAGTTTGAGATGTTGATTTAAATTGAGGGATTTGGGTTTGACTATTTAGTGTGAATTGCTGGTTTTAAATGCTATAATATTATAAAAAGAGAGTTCTGATACTTTCTTATATAAATACTGAAGAAAACACATATTACAATGATTTAGAAGGTGGATCTGAAATAATAATAATAAATTCTTGGATAATTTGAAACCTTTCATTTCTTATAATATTAGTTTTCGTAAAGTTTAATTAAACGATTTACACTAAAATTCAATCCACATATCAAAATGCAACCCTCAGGTATGTTTTTACTCATATGATGTTCATCTGAATCAGTGAACTTCTCAATTTTGTTAGTGGCAGAAATGTGGTTGGCTTGATAGCACGGAGAGAGATTTCTCCTAGAGCAAGACATGTACCGAGAAGGCGGTGGGGAGAATCTTCTAATAGGAAAACTCGTTCCTCCTCTGGGCCTAAGTGCGAAGCAACACGAGATGCAAAACGTGGCCTTCTTTCATGGTACCTACAGCTCTCCTTTCTAACTTTTATCAAGCAGGTTTGAGTATGAGACTTTCTGTGTGTTCTATATAAGGTTATCAAAGATGCGCTGTTGTATTTATTGAATCTGTATTTATTGATCTTTCAGGGTTGAAGCAGAGTCACTTAAGCATTTGTCAGCCAAGTACTGTCATTTAGTGCCTCCTCCAAGGTCAACTATTGCAGCAGCGTTCAGCCCCGATGGAAGAAAACTTGCTTCGACACAGTAAGTTGTCCAATTATTGAGTTTTTTGGATTTGAATACTTGCTCATATCTGTATTTGATCTTTACTCTTTTTAATTTCTTTTGATACTTTCAGTGGTGACCACACTGTAAAGATAATTGATTGCCAAACTGGCAGCTGCTTAAAGGTTTTGAGTGGCCATAGACGGACACCTTGGGTGGTAAGTTTGGCTTGTGCAATTGCAGACTTATTTATTCTTAGTTTTCTTGCTAATTTGTCATATTCTACTTTAATAGTTGCATTTTGCTTTATGAATTCTTTAGTCCAGAGTGAAATCTATTAAAGCGGTATTTTTTTTTTTCTTTTCTGAAAAACCAGATACATATCAAATAAAGTCTTACCCATTTATTTGACAGATGATATATGAACTAGCTGTTCCAAAATTTTAATAATTAACTAATTAATAGCTACAATATTTACCTCTGGGGTCTTTTTTTGTTAATTACTAACTTATCAGGATTGTATTCTACTTGTCTTATGTAATAATTACTCTGTCTTTCCGATGCATCCAAAATCCAAACCACTAATTATGATTATTATTTTCACGTGGAAGTAACTAATGGAACTCTTACAGGTTAGGTTCCACCCCTTGCATCCTGAAATAATTGCTAGTGGAAGTTTGGATCATGAAGTTCGCTTATGGGATTTAAACACATCAGAGTGTATAGGATCTCGCAATTTCTGTAATTCCAAAACTGCAATGTTTTAATTAGTAACTGCAGTTCTTTTTTTACCAATTGTACATTTTTCCTAAAGTTCTGATATAGTTATTATTTTTGCTGACTCTGGCCTCAGATCGACCTATTGCATCTATTGCTTTTCATGCCAAAGGGGATCTCCTAGCTGTTGCATCAGGACACAAGGTGTTGATTCTTTTTATTATGGTTCTTTGTTACATCATATATAATCCTTTATGGCAAGTAATTGCTTTATAAATTTGATAACACTGACGTACAAAATCCCGTTTCAGTTGTATATATGGAACTACAACGGGGAGCGTTCCTCTCCAGACATTGTATTGAAAACATGGCGTTCACTTAGAGCAGTACATTTTCACCCCCAAGCTGCTCCATTTCTCTTGACTGCTGAGGTAATTTTCTAGAGGGTACTTAAATGATTAACCACTCCAGCTATCGTATAGATTACATTATTAAACTGATATGCAGGTCAATGATCTTGACTCTTCAGATTCCTCAATGACACTAGCAACATCTCCCGGCTACTTGCAATATCCATCTCCTGCTGTTTTTGTGGCAAATGTTCATTCTAGAGAGCGTCTTAGTTTGGCTGCTGAACTACCACTTCTGTCCTTGCCTTTCGTCTTCGTGCCGCCATTTGTAGATGATCCAAGAATAGAAATGCAGTGTGAAAATGGGCCTGCTGGTTCAAATAGCATGCAAGTCACTTCTGCTTCAATGCAGTTTCAAGCAGATGTAAATGCAGCAGAGCTGGATGGTAGCACAGCTTCTCCCATGGAGACATTTTCATCAGTTCAAACTGCCTCCCATTCGAACGCTGAAGAAAATGCAGATAATTCTCACCTTAATGGAACAGTAAGTGGTGTTTGTGACCGCACAGGAGATTCAATGGAGACTGATGAGATGCAGGGTGTAGGGGGAAGCCAACGTGGAAGCTTTACTAATTTAGATTCTGCTAATGATAGAGTACCAGAAAATATTTCAAATCATCTTGATTTTGGGCAACCTCATAGTAGTTTTCCTTATAGAGATCCAGCATTTTGGGAGCTACCTTTTCTCCAAGGGTGGTTAACTGGCCAAAGCCAAGTTAGTTTTCCCTCGATGCTACCTCTTAATCATGATGGGCATGACACTTCTAGTTTAATGTCACATCTGTCTGCTCATAATGTGGAGGCTGTGGCAGCTTCTTTAGCAATGCCAGGAAGCACCAGCCTATCTGGAGTTTCTGGAAGATCTGGTTTACAGCACTATTATCCGCATTTCCGCTACTCTGTACCAGATTCTGGGGATGATGATGCTTCTTTAAATACCCTACATGATGGGAATGATGCTCAGCCCATTATTAGTAGAATCCAGTCTGAAATTACTACATCACTGGCTGCTGCAGCAGCTGCGGAGTTACCATGCACTGTGAAGCTAAGTGTATGGTCACATGATATAAAAACTCCTTGTGCTCCGCTCAATGATGAAAGATGCCGCTTAATCATTCCCCATGCTGTTCTTTGCAGGTACATCCTTGGTATTCCTTTTTATTCTTTTTCCTTTTTCTGGTTTTAGCTTCAGCATTGTGGTGGAAATGACAACCTTCTAACATCCTTATTGAACACAGTTTTAATTGGATGCATTTTATGGATTTTTCCTGCTTAGCTTGTCATTATGCTTATGTAATACCTTCTTTGGGCTGTGTTTGTTTTTGCAGTGAAATGGGTGCTCATTTCTCACCTTGTGGGAGATTTTTAGCTGCCTGTGTGGCATGCATGCTGCCTCATACGGAAGCTGATTTTGGACTACAAAGTCTAGTCCATCAGGATTCTGGAATTGCAACATCCCCAACTAGGCACCCAATCTCAGCACACCAAGTCATGTATGAGCTTCGCATATATTCACTTGAGGAGGCAACGTAAATTTCTAATCCTTTTGTCCACTCTTTCTTATTTCCTTTATTCTCTTATTAACATCTATTATTTGAATTGTTCAATGTTCTCTTGCAGATTCGGGTCGGTACTTGTGTCTCGGGCTATCAGAGCTGCACATTGTTTGACTTCAATCCAGGTTAGTTTCATAGGAAACTTGACTCCTATCTGCTTTTGTTTCTATTCATAGGCTGGTGCTTTCTGTCATGCTGTTATTACCTTCGACTCATTTTCTACTGTGCTTTCTGTCATGCTGTTATTACCTTCGACTCATTTTCTACTGTGCATTATAAGGTCGAAACTCATGGTTAAGTTGGATAATGACTCTTTTTTTTCTTTTTATTTTTTTGTGTGTGCCCATTTCTGAAAGCTGTTAAGCCAACCGTAGTGTCACTGACGTCAAACTGAATATGTTCCTGTTCCTTTGGTACTTATAGTTGATTTAAGAGCAAATATAACTTTGTTGTTGTAAGTTTCAACTAATAGTACTTTTGATTTCTATGCATGATGGTAAGGGTACATTTCAGTTTGAGTTGAGCCTCTTTTTTTGATGTTTTGCCTGCAGTTCTCACCCACGTCTGAGCACATATTACTTGCCTATGGTCGACGCCATGGCTCTCTTCTTAAAAGTATTGTCATTGATGGGGAGACAACCTTACCTATTTACACTGTTCTTGAGGTGAATTCCAGTGTCTTCCCTCTTGTTCTATAGCTGAGAAGATTCTGTTGTTTAGCTCACTTTCTATGTTAGTTCTTTTGGGAAGTCATAGTTATCGTCATTTCTTTATTTATTAGGTCTACAGAGTTTCAGATATGGAACTTGTGAGAGTACTTCCTAGTGCAGAGGATGAGGTTAATGTTGCTTGCTTTCATCCCTTTGCCGGTGGAGGTCTGGTTTATGGAACCAAGGTATGCTTTTGACTTCTCAGAAATCTTGGATTACCAGTCTACTATCTCTTTTTCCCCTTTTTGACTGCTAATTTTATATAAATTGCAGGAAGGGAAGCTTAGGGTACTCCAGTTTGATGGTGCTCATGGTGGGAACTCTGTTGGACCAAATTACTTTACAGAGGAAAATATGGCCGTTGCGTTATAGCGAGCAAGGTTGTAGCATGTTCTTCCTTTCTACGTATCTTGATGAGTTTACCTTCTGCCTTTATAATGGGTGCCAATAAATTTGTCATAGTTTGGGGTGTGTGCACACACATTTTTCGGGTTTTGTTTTTGCGGGGATGGGTGGATGCTAAGAGCTTTACTTTCTGCATGATCAAAGTTGTTGTCTTCAATATTTTCCCATCATTTTAGCCTTAAACTAAATGTGTCATATGTTGGTACCATAAGGGACCTTTCAAACGCCCAAAAAGAAAACAAGAGCAAACAAAATTACATATTTGGGCTCATTTGTTTACTGTATGCGATTGTCCCTTCCAGGACATCCAATTCACTGTGTGCGATCTACTCTCAGATAGAATTGAATTCCTCTTCTCTGTTTAGATTTTTGAGGAAAAATGGTTCTGAGAATTGCTTGCTGAGCATATATTATGAACTCCAAAAGGCCAGCCTTTTTTTCCTTCAGGTAGATGTGTTTTCGTCTATTATCAATATTTGCATGCTTCAATTGTGATTGATTGAGGTTTTTTGTTTTATCTGTTTAGTTTTGGATTTGGTCAATATTTTGGATGGAGCTGGTTTTGGATTGTATCAATTGTTTTAAAGTTGATGTGTATTTGTGTTTGTTTGGCCTTGAAAGTAATACATTAGGGTTTCAAATGGTGGTTTTGGTTTTGTTTGGTGTTTTTGTTGTTTTGGATGAAAATTGCTATAAATTCATATCATCTATTTGATATGTGATTGTTCTATATTTTCCATGTCTGGTAATGTGGAAGAGGCGAAATCTAAGAAACTAGACTAGAACGTGTGCCATCTCTTTTTCACCTCCCTGCATGACTTGAATTCTTGCTCTCATTCCTATAAATATCCGCCTTAAGTCTTTTGTTTGAATGTTGAGACTGATGGAGGCATGGCATTTTGATTTGTGCTTGTAGGACCCATGACATTGTAGATATTGGGAAGAAAATTCTGGAACAGCTTCTGCAGTTTGTGCCACATAGTTCCAGCTCTGTGCTTCTCTCAAAACATGTTTTGTGGAGTTCAAAATGGGATGATGATGTGCAGAGGACTCATATAAACCAGTGAAAGATGGCCGGGGTCCTAAAAGGCGGAGCAATGAGCTTCATTGAGATTGATGGCGGTGGTTATGCACTTACAGGTGATGACTAGAGAGATGAGAGTTTCATGCTGTACATATAACCATGTTTGATCGATTAACAGACCTTTTGAAGTTGATTTTGTATTTGTGTAATCGTATCAAATTGTGAAGTGCAATTTTGGATACGGAGACTTACTATTCTCAAGTTCTAAAGAAGTATTCAAGAACTCCCATAATCTTTATATACACCAAAGAAAAACTCCAATAATCTTATTTCCTCGTCCTTGTAACTTGTTGGTTTTGTGTTACATTTAAGGCTCGGTCACAGATTCGACAAGCATACAACCGATGATAAGGACCAGAGTATTCTCTGATTTACGAGGGATGCAAACCTTGGCGGTAACCCTTCGTTATTCAGGTGAAATTAATGTTAAACCGAGAAACTTGGTGGTGGAGCGTTGGTGAAGACGCGTGATGATGGTACCCCTTGTAAGCGAATTTGGATCAGGTAGCAGAGGAAAGTACCCCAAGTTCCCAACAGCATATTCCAGCTAAGCAAACCAAAAAGAATGGGATCCGAAGCCCCAGAAAATCAATTTATCCAGACGACCTTTTGGTCCTTTGGTCTTGTACCATCCTTTTACCAAAACAAGAAACCCTAATACTTTACAGAGACGTGGTACTTTACTTCCATCTCATATTATACCTATTAAAATATTAAGTCTAACGTATTTTTAAGAGTTAGGGTTTGGTGGTTTTTGCATTGATTTAATCTCCCAGTTCTTATTCTTTCCCACTGCTTCCAAAATAAATGGAAGAGATTTGAATCTCTAAATTTTTTTTAAAAATTGTTACTAGCACTTAACTGCAGGGTCTTTGATAATTAATTTGAAATGCTAATAGCGGGGTTTTTATTTATTCGGGGGCAAGAAGACGCGCTCAATGTCTTAGCCAACTGGTTTCTAAATTAAAGTCTAAAAGTCGCAAACGGAGCCTAATAATGCATTAACTTGCAAATTAGTAGTCTTAGGTTCAAACCTCTATAACACCTCAGTAGTGTGTAAAAAGTCTCATTCTCTTGTAGTTAATCGCTTGTACACAAACAAATAAATAAAATAAAATAAAATCTAAAAGTCAAGTGGTTGTTAAAAGTCTTTTTTTTAAAATGATAAAAGTCTTAAAAGTCGAATTTTGCACAATTAACGGGTGCGTGCTAGCCTAGTAGAACAGACGGGTGTCTAAATCATTCCTTACAAAAGGGAATTTCTTTTTCTAAAAAAAATCCCGTTTGACCAGTCAAAGGAACATTAAAAGCTAATATCAATACGTAAAAGAGGATTAGTTCCAATGGGACATGCATTGACTAATTGTTTTCCTTTCTTTGACTACTCCTAGAAGAAGATCGATCACTAAATTCACTACCCTCAAACATAATCAACAACAACAACAACAACAACAACAACAAAAAATCAAACCCTAAAAATTATGAATAAATTATAAAGAATTAACTTGAGGTAAGGGAAGCTAATAAATCAGTAAAAGAAGGTAATGATCTGATGATACTAAGAAGAAGATGATGATGATTCGAATTTGTAGTGTTTATCAACGGCCACAGATACATCCCAAGTGCAACTCAGTCCCTTTGGGATGGTGACAAGGTCTCCAGCCCCAAACTCCACAGCTTCTGATGACCCTTTTGGATATGCCTTCACTCTTCCCTTCAACAAATAACATGTCTCCTCTGCATCAAACTTCAGCTGGTACCTCCCTGGGGAACAGCCCCATCTAATTAAATTCCAAAAAAGAAAAAACCCAAGTTATTATAATTTATATACGGAGAGAGAGAGAGAGAGAGAGAGAGAGAGAGAGTTACTTGGGCCAGCACTTGATGTCCAGTTGGGAGAGGCGAGATTCAGAAGGGTTTCTTTCAACTGTGATTCTGAGGCTTGAGGAGGAGGAGGAGGTTGATGAGCAGGGTTCTGCAGCCATGAAAATATAAGAGGGGAGCAGTGAGTGCTATTGTTTTGAGGGGAGAAGAACAACAGTGTTGGGAAGAACTGATATATATTGGTTGAATTTTTTGGCTGCATATAAGTTGTGAGGATTTTGGAGAAGCTTAAAGGAAAAGGGAATCTTTTACATGGAAGGAGAAGGATAAGAAACCTTAATATATAGGGAAGGGGACAAGATATTGGTATTTTTCTCTTATTCCTTCCCTCCTCATTATTTACCATTGACTTATCACATGCATCATGTCATATTCACAAATTATATTTTCGATGCTTAAATTCAAATTATAGTAGGTGGTAATAGGTCTTAAGCGATGTGACCACTGCCCTCATATTCACGATAAGAGTTCGATTAGCTGCCGTACTATTTATTTATTTATTTTTTAAGAGTAAACGATAATTGTATTCATAACTCAAGACATCAAGACCATCAGCCATAAGGGCATAAACCACCCAAAAAAAGTTAATACAGATATAGAAGCACAGCAACCACACATGATTATTCCAAATACAGAGAAATACATCACAAGATTTACCATTAATAGTGGCATCAAGCCAAATAATTTCGACATGAAAATCGCAAACCTGAACAAATCAAACATAACAAGAGTTTAATGTTTTTTTTTTCTTTGAATTCAAAAGAAAAATCAAATCAAAACTAATTATAGGGTTAAGTTCATGCACACAAACCCTTATATGGTAGGTGGTTGGCTAGAATTTCTTAGTTATGGCAAATGGGGCAAGAGGGCCAACCCATGCAAGCAACACCCTTGTGCACAAGGAAATTTACATGTGCTATATTAATTAGGCGGTATTAGAAACATCATTTTTAGGTACAACTTTGTGTCCACAATAATAATTTGCCATTGACTTTTATAAAAGGGCAATGATTTTCCCACTCCTATTTTATCCACATACACTCCTTTTTTTATAACTAAAAAAGGAGTGTAAGTTGATAAAATATGATAAAAAAGAGTGGGGAAATCACCACTCTTATAAAAACCATATTATATCTTTGAATATCACAATAATTTTTAATTGTTGAATGTCACACACAAGTGAAAATTTGTGTGTATTAAATTGTTAATTGATGTTTTAATTTTTTTTTTTAAAATGCCTATTATTATTGATGTATCTATTAAGAGTAATGCTACACTTACCACATTAGTATTCCACATTTCTATATCACATGATATGACATATCCATATCATATGACATATTAATTAAATGAATGAAGTGTATTTTAATAAATAAAATTAGAAAAACATAAACTAATATTTTACATGATGTGGTATGTACACATCAGCCGCTACATCATATGGTATAAAATTGTGGTATAAAAAATATGATAAGACTAGTATTATTCATCTATTAAAGCTAAATTTGTAAAAATATCACTCACCGGTCAAACGGTTTGACTGGAAATCCAACATACAGAGAGTACGTGGCTGTAAATGAGTGGTATCAAAGTTTGACCGGGAATCGTGATCCTAAAGATACCGACATTGCTCTGTCAGACCTTTTCGTTTGGCTCCATCCATGTCCAGGATGCCCCATGATCTATATATCTTTTGGTTTTATTCACACCATCCCCCTCAAACAAGCAATTTTGCACGTGCCATTCCACGTCAAGTCATCGTCACGTTGTACTCGTACTCGTATACAAGACTCGGTCGACTAATTATTGATTTAATGATATTTCTCTTCTTAGTATTAAAAGAAGTCTCAAATTCGAATATCTTCTATTTCAAAAATTTTATAACAAATTCTTGTTTATCACACCATTGTTATATGAAGAAGGGTTGTCTTCAATTTTGGCTGCCCATTGTATTATAAAATTCGTCGAATTTGTCTCTAAATTAATGTGTCTATGCATAATTCATTTACGTATAAAAATGGTGGGTGCGATGCACTTTGACTTAGTGCCTGCACATTTTATACCTTTGTGAATGATGAGCTGCCCCAATTGTTAATAATATCTGCACGTTTTGAATGTTTCGAAGGAACGTAAGAAAAAGATTCTGCATCACTCAAAGTCAAGACTCAACTAGGGCAATATACATCTAGTCTAGGCATCATCTTCATAAAGGTTTAGAAGTTTGGATCACCAATGAAGGACTTCAAGAAGCATATATCATCATTCATGGGCTTGTGAGTTATTTGATTGTATACACGTTTGTAGCATTCTTCGAGTACTTGATAGTCAATTGTGCATGCACACATAAATGATTTATAATTATTAACTCATATCAGTAGTTTGTGCATTTATTAATTGATGATCCACGTAGCATAACAAAACTCACTAATTAGCTAACTAAACCTGCACTACATGAATGAGCTGACGTAAGTTGGGCCAGTTGGATAGGGTATGAGATATTAGAGTATTTCCACCCATTTGTCATGGCAAATGGCAAGTCTTGTTACTATTTACGTGAATAGTGCCAACTCTTGCAAAAGGCTTGCTGTGCTTCCTGTATTGCCATGGCAACTCAAGGGCAACCATAATTCACATGAGACATAAGGAAAAGAATTTGTATAGAGTTTTGGTGTGAGAAGTGAATAATATGGCTAGATATTTATTTATTTTGAAAATTTTGGTTTCTTTTTCAAAATTTTATTTTATTTTAAAAATTTGTTGATGACGTCAGCTGCCCTTAGGCATGAGCTCAGACTCCTTTTGCCTTTGGGCTTGCCCGAGTTGTTGGTCCCCACCATTTGCCCAGGCTGTAGAAGCCCGCTGGAAACTGCAAACTGGGCTAAGGCCCCCTCCTGCTAGGGCTTTACCCTTGCGCTGGAAGTGCTCTTAAAAGCAGTCTCCTCCTTTGCCTGTTTTAATCATGGGTTGGGTTAATTGAAGGAAATGATCTCTTAGACCATATGAAGTCTCAATGAGCCCAAAGATCTTTAGGTTTCATTAACTAAAAGGACATCCATTTTAATTTCAGGCCCAATAGATCGTAGGGCCCCAGAAAGGAAACCCGATTCTGAAAACCGATTTGAGCCCGCGGATCCGGGGCAGTAGTTCATCATTAGAGCTCGTTTTGTCCACTTCCACACACACTTCAGTCTTCACATTCCGATCCCCACATTTCCTCTATCTCTCCGTTTCGCTTTTTGGTTTCAGTCAAATCCATGGCTACCCAAGGTCAAGTCATCACCTCCCACATTTCCTCTATCTCTCCGTTTCGCTTTTTGGTTTCAGTCAAATCCATGGCTACCCAAG